TTTGGCTCAATAGCATTTTACTTTTAAATTTGAAATCAAAGCAAAATGATCTGCTAAGACAACTAACCTTTTTTCATTAAGTTCTGCTGATGGGATTTTATTATAATATTTATTTTACTTCTATGAAACAAAAGCCAAACATCTGCAGAGAAGTCTAATATGTGTAGAGGATGACTTGGAGGACAGGCAGCCAAAATGTCACAGCAGCAAGATTACAGAACGAGGCAGAGCACACATGGGATTTCCTCGCAGGCAGATGTATCAAAGGAATGTACTTCCGTTTCTTGTTTTAAGAGACGCACCTACCCAAGTGCAACTGGATTAATAAACACTTCTAAAGCAATGCTACAGTGCTTTAAAGAATATATGATGTGTTTAGGCTATAAATAAGGAATATTTTCTATTTTTAAAGCGCTACACTGGACATTTACATTTCCTGACAGCTTGCCATAAGAATGAGCAACTCACATGAGAAAGAAAATCAACAGCAGCAAAGAAAAGAGCATCTGGTAACCCCAATTATTTGCACTGCTGTACCACCAACTACAGCTAAAGGTACATTAAATCTTGTACTAAGACTGGCGCACAAATTTCAAGTACTGCTGTGGTATCCAAAGGCACCAGATGTTTTCTTGCTTTTTCTAAACTGTACTTAAAAACTGGTATGCGCCCATAAATTATGGGTTAATTTTTTTGTTTTCTCTATGATTAAGTGCCTAGTGGAGTGAAACGTCTTAGAGGAGCAAGTGGATTAGCCTTGTACCAGACTAGATCCCTTAAATTTTACCTTGGGCTTAAAGAAAGAGTAAGGCTTCTTCCCTTTTTCCTTTGTTGGGATATTCTACACATTCATTTCTGAATATATACAATATAAACAACAGCATCCTCATCTCAAGACCTTGGGTTCCTGCTCTTGGGACACACTCTTCCTTTTGAATTATTTCATCACTGCTGACGCATCTCATGGCAAAGTGTTCCCTTTAAGCCCGGTTTCACATTATAAAGCCCGGGCCAAGTTCTATAAGGTATGTTTTTGTACCCCTCAATGCACTAGCCGAAACAGCATAATATACGGATATGTCCTAAAGGACTTTTATAGTTTTAGATTTGGCATACTCTAAAAGGGATTTTTATGTATATTAAGTGTATGTGGAGATGATCAAGAGCTATAAATCATACATTAGGTCCCAGAGGAGTTTCAGTACAGAGCAGTTCCATTTTAGTTTAAAGCGGTTCTAAACACAAAAACATAAAGGTTTGTTGTTAACCCTTCTTGCCTCTTTTGCTGGACAACTAGGTCTGTTAAAAGGAGAAGTAGGGCCAAAGCTCTTTTGGGTCTACCTCTCCTATGGATCACAGGAGTGCACTTTGTTCTGCATTCCTGTGACCCTTATTCAGCTGACAGCAGGGTAATGTTGGTCCAGGCTCTGGCAAGAACCTTGGACCAGCAGCTGGATCAACCTGTAAACACGCCACTGAGAGCCTGAGCCAGCCACTCCAACCCGCTCCACAGCCCGGCACTCCAGTGAGAGCTGGAGGGACAGAGCAGAGAGCGGTGACTGACAGTCACTGGCTCTCTGCAGACTGAAGATGAAGATGGTATTCGATTGTTCAGTTCTCTGTCTTAGAGGTGCCAGGAGATGGCTGCAGCCATCTAGGTCAGCTTTTCTCAACCACGGTGCCCTGGCCACCCTGGGGTACCTTGAAGTTTCTCCAGGGGTGCCTTGGCAAAATGTCTAAAAGTTGCCCAAAACTTGTATACAAGCCAGCGGGTGGAAGAAGCCTGCTTTTTAGTTACACAAAGCCACAGGTCTTCATTGTGCGCCATTAAAACCTTCTAGCCATCGGCATCCTGTCAACCAATGACATCATCAGTTGATAAGGAGGATGTCGGTTGCCTGCACAGCATCCTAGTTTTACCCTCCCCTGTCCCTCTCCGTCAGTGCTGGGGTCACATTAGCTCAATGATGGAGAAAAACTGAGAGAAACACTGTAATACTAGTCAGTATTAGTGTGCAAAAGTGTATTTGATTTGGAAGGATAAATCACCTCTAACGTTGGGTGTGCTACATGTGTGGATGTTACTGTGTTATATAAAAACTATTAAAATAGTTATTTACATTTTATAATGGGGTGCCTCAAGACTGTCCATAATTTTAGAGGGTGCCTTGAAATTGTCCATAATTTTAAAGGGTGCCTTGACTGAAAAAAAGTTTGAGAAACACTGATCTAGGTGATTATTACTGACTGTTTTTTTTTCAATTCTAAAACTTCTCTTTTAAAGGAATTTGAAATATAACAGTCATATTGGCCGAACCAAAAGGCCAGAAATCCTCTAAATATGGAAAGGCTTCTGCACAGTAAGAGCTGTGAAGTGTGGCTTAGACTCCCTCAAGAGCTGGTTCTGGCCAGCTCAGTAGATTGTTTTAAAAAAGGCCATGATTTGTTTCCTAAATGTACATAATATAACTGGATACTTACATGTATAGGTAAAGTTGATCCAGAGAATATCTGATTGCCTCTTAGGGGATCAGGAAGGATTTTTTTCCCCTGCTGGACCAAACTGGATCATGCTTTATTGTTTTTTTTTTTGCCTTCCTCTGGGTCAACTATGGGTATAGGATAGTGTATATGGAGGTTTTCTGTTTGTGTGTGTCTTTTTTCTCTGTTGGTTGAACCAAATTACCTATGTAACTATATATAGCAGTCAGGTATTCCATCACTCTTACTTCTGCTATAACTGAAATGAGCTGGCTCTGCGAGAGAATCTCTGTAGATTTCCAGCAGTATGGAATCAATCTCCTGGTCGCTGTCAATATGTGAGCACTGAGTTTTTTTTAAGGCTTTTAGATATACCCATAAATGATAGATCCAAGAGATGTAGGGTGTAGAGCATCAAATAGTAAAATAAACCCCTCCAGAACCAGCTCCAGGACCCACTGAATGGAAGCCCAGAATCCCTAGATCTGAGGACAGAACGAAAAAATGTGCGTCAATGTACCTTTGTCTCCCATACATCTCCAAAACACCTTTGGGACAGCCAGATAAAAATAATGTAAGACTGTGGGGGTTTTGTACTGTAAAGTTTTCTTTCTGCATAACAAATCAGGACATTTTAGTGGCTGTATCGCAAATTTTGAGCCAACAAACTTGTGATATAAGGTGTTGAAGGACCTCAGTCCATTTCTGCATAAAGGAATGAGTTTCATCTCTCAGAGGAGAGGCCACCTGTAATAGCTTATATAAGGTGGAGATTAAGTGTGTCTGAGATGTTCAAAACCAATAGGATAATCAAGATCAAAGGTGCATGCACTGCTTTAAAAAAATGCACTGTAACTGGGTCACATGGTACTACTGTATTAGGTAAAATACTGAGGGTCTGTAATTGTAAAAGCTTAGGAAACCCTTAATGTAGAGGAAGAAAGGCTAAAAGTAGGACCTTAAAGCGGAGTTCCACCCAAAAGGGGAAGTTCCGATTTAAGGACTGCTCCCCCGCTCCTCATTAAGGATTGGCACCTTTGGGGGGTGGGGGGCGGGTACCCGAATTTGACAGGTACCAGCTCCCACTTCCAGTCCGATCGCCTAGGCAATCGGAAAAGGAAGGTGTCCTCCCTCCCTCTCTCCCTGTAGTCTTTTGGGACACGTGACAGGTCTCAGAAGACTAGAGGATATTCATGAAGCGCAGCACTACTCGCGCATGCGCAGTGGGTACCCGGTTGTGCAGCCGCAAGCAGTCACAGCCGGGTGCCCACACTGAAGATGCTGGCCTCCAGGACGGCTGGTGAAACGAGCTGCAGGGGACACACCGCAGGACCAAGGGGCAGGTAAGTGGCTGTTTTTTTAAAAGTCAGCAGCTACAGTTTTTGTAGCTGCTGACTTTTATTTTTTGACAGGGTGAGCGGAACTCCGCTTTAAAGTGAACTTGTGCCCATAATATAAACACTAAAGTATTTACATATCCTAAAACAAGCAGTAATAGCACTTTGAAAAAAGCCCCTGCCCTGTTACACTGGTAGCTAGATAGGATACCCCATAGCTCTACTTCAGAAACCATTTTGGTATAGGAATTATTTGTTTTTTTCTGAAATGACATTGGTCAATTATTTTCCACTCTTTAGAGTCTTTGTTGTGTTCTTAGAGAATATTTGAGTATAAATAACTACACAGTACAAGCAGCCAGAGAGGTCAGTGAGTTTTTGTACTAAAGGTCTTCTACTGCTTGTTTAGAATATTTAAATGCTTTAATGTCCATAGTGTTGGCACAGGTGCACTTTTACGTCAGTATATAGTGGGAATAGCACAGTGATAATTAAGATGTATTTCTCTACTGCCCTTTTATTTTTTTCTTCCTTTTCTTTCTTTCTGATTTCTCTCTAAGGATTTCTCTAATACTATTATATAAAATGGTATCCTGCTATCTCCAGCTCCCAGTATAACCTCCAAGGAATTGGGCATTATTATAAAAATTATGTTAAAGTAAATGTAAAATAGTTATTTTTTTAATTAAAATAATAAACGTTATACTTACTTGCTCTCTGTATTGGATTTGCACAAAGCGGCCCCAATCCTCCTCTTCTCATGTCCCCTGCTGGCACTCTAGTCTCCATCCCATCTTAAAATATACAGAAGGGGGCTCGGCACCTGTCACTGGATCTGAGCCAATGGTTCCTGCTGCTGTACCTGAGCCAATGAGGAGCGAAAGAGCCGAGAGAGCCTCAGCTCTCGTGTATATTGCTGGATCGAGATCAGGATCAGGTATGTATTTTGGGTGGGTTGCAGGGGGGACCTGCATGCACAAGGCGTTTTTTACCTTACTGCATAAAATGCAGTAAGGTTAAAAACCTTCTGCCTTTGCAACCACTTTAATGTTATTTAAAACATACTAATTACTTATCTTTACAAAAAGCATTATAAATGCTGCCACTATACACGAGCGTCCAAGAAATTGCAAGTTTTATTAACCTTGGTGTGGTATCTGCTAATTAAATGGAATTACTTACGCTTATCTTCAAAGATGTTCTTTGATTTCTTGTACACCTCTGAAGGGTCAAGCTTTGGAGAATTAGATCGTGCAAGGTTTGGTGGGAAGGGTAAAGGCTGTGGTAAAGGTTCAGTTGTGCCAATTGCTTCAACACTACCAGTCAGCTCTGGTTTGTCAGTCTTCTAGGAAAAAGGAAAGACATTGCAGTTACATATGAGTCTACCGTATTATGTTTGAAGCAAACTAACATACAAGAAGAGCATGTATCCTGGCAAATGACTGTATCACATGATCCTTATGGTAAAGTAGAAGATAATGCTGATAACAAATATTCTTAAAAATGCTGCCTCCCTCTCTCCTTTTTTTAATCCTGCTTGGTTCAGTCATGTGATCCAGCAGTTCTGTCTCCCCTGTGTCAGAGAATGGCTACTGCAGGGGAGAGAAGGGAACGCTGGCAATGGATGGGCAATGTGTGTCAGTGGGTGACATCATGGCTCCAGGAATTTACAGCTGTTGTCAAGTGCTCCCATACACAGGGAACACAAAGCAGTTGGATCACATGACCCGGCTGGACAGGTTTAAAAAAAAAAAAAAAAAAAAAAAAAAAAAAAAAAAAAAAAAAAAGGTGTTTACACTGATTTCTTTTTTTATACAGCTTATACAGAATAATTAGAGAGGGCAGCAAATTTAGGAATAACGTGTTATTAACCTTTACTACACCTTAAATACAAAGTTTATAAATCTAGAAAGTTTTTTTTTTAATAAAAAAAAGGGATAAACATTCAAGTATTTCACACCCTAGGTTCATTCCCAAAGTGCTGATAGTTTCAGAAAGCTATTTGATTCATATATGGTTTTCTACTGCTCACTAAATCACTTTTATACATATTTAATTTGCTAACAGAAACTGTAGTACGTTTTTCTCCCTCCTTAGCAATCAAGGTGTACACTGTGTGTAAGAGATGTCCTTTGATCTTCTGACAATTTAACTCTTTTTAGGGTAAATCATGCATGTAAAGGAAGCTCACCTGGCAGCTTCAGGTATCCAACACTTTCAGGCTTACTGAATACCTGCTTCCTCTGCTGTGCTGTGGTTCCTCCCACATGCTCCTATGTCATTACAGGACATAAGAGCCAGTGAGAGGAACCACCACACGAAGTAAAATGAATAGGTATTCAACATGCCTGGAAGTGAAAGATGAGGTCAGCGGGGGGGGGCATCTAGTAAAAGGAAGAGTTTTATGGCGAGGACTACTGGAAACATAAGTATAAAGAATCTTGTTTTACAGGCTGGCTTTAGTTTAGTCTGAACCCCATAGTTACAGGGTCACAGTAAATACATTGCATCTTGTATTCTGCCAATCGTGCAATCTATGTTTAGTATTTATTTATTTTTTAACAAAAATAGGATTGATGACCATAACCCAATTAATGGACACTCACCACTTTTGTTACTTTGGTTGGTGACGGAGGACCTGCAAGGGAAAAAAAATGTTATCACAGAGCAGAGAATAGAGTGAAACATTGTTTCTGACCCCCAAATGGTATGCCGAGACATGGATTCACCTGAGAACCATATATTTTTGTACATAAACTATCTGATTGTAAAAACATACCCACCCACACAGTTCCATATACATTTAGGACTAATAACATCACAATGGGCATTTGGTAACAAAGTTAATATGATCAATAAAGCCACTACATTATGCAGTAAAAAGCATTTGCCTACATTATCATACTTTACAATTGACATCTCAGGTCCACACAGTACTCCTTTCTCATTTATATCACCATAAAAAAGGGGTGCTATGTGGCCCTAAAACATTGATGTATGGCATGTCCATCAGAGTTTAAAAAACTTTTAAAACACAATAGGCTTTATTGATTGTAAAACTATCTGAAAATGCATTCCAAAGTTTCCAAGATCTAGAAAGAACACCTTCCTTTTTTTTGGAGGGATAGAATATTTTATTTAGAGGGTTAGCTTGATATTTTTAAAAAGACATCTAAAAATTTAAAAAATATATATTTTAGAATCTAATTTAGGGAATGAGATTATATTGTGCTTCAGCAGCAAAGTGTCCCAGCAAATTATCCAAAAGGTTTACTAGAGATTGCCATTAGGCATTACGGCCCTTGCAGAACATTATCATTTTGTCATCACAGCACATTGTGGTAAATCAGCATTGTTCTGGCATGGCACCATTCAGCTTGCATGGCACCATCTAGTAATGTAACATTAGGGATGTAAGCCTTGGTTCACATATGTGCAAGGCCGGTTTGTAGAATGATTTCAAGCCTCGTCCAATGTGACTTCGTTCAGAGGTTCAGGTGCGAATTGTTAAAGTGTATTTATTTTGTAAATTGCACCTGAACTGGGCTGAAAATCGTACCTGACTCTTTTTGAAATTGCACTGGGCCGGCCCACACATATGTGAACTGGCTCCATAGAAAATCCTTTTAGTTCACATGTCATGCGAATCGGATGTGATTTAAAACACATCCAATTAACATATATGTGAACCGGGGCTAATAGTACCATGGAATCACTCTGGCTCCACCTTGGTTTTAGCAATAACATCATTCTGCCCTCTTGTAGTCCTGGTCTTTGAGAACATGCCAGCGCTTTTAGTTTTGCTAGGTTTTTTCCCCTAAAGCAGAGATCAGCATACACAAATAATCTTAGAATATCATATGTTAGCATTAAGCCAATCCATTTTTTCCCCTAAAGCAGTAGAGATCAGCCATACACAAATAATCTTAGAATATCAAAGGGGGTTAGCATGACAGAACAAAGCAATACAATCAAATTATAATGAGAATGTTGTAAACACCATGGACAGTGTTATAGTCTGTCCCAACCCCTGTCATTGCCACTTTTGCTTGACTTCTTCCTCTGCATGTAATTGTGTGGTGAAACATAATTAAACAAATGGTAAAAATTGGTATTAACATATTACTATCAATACATATATTATCATAATATATTTCTATTATTACAGTTAACATAATATAGCACTCTATTGCAGCAGGGGAAAATCAAGGGAGAATCAGGTGCAATTTCCCTTCTTTAATTTCAAGTGATGGTTGTAATTCAAAAGGGAAGCAATATCACTCTGCCATCACGTGATCTACAGGTTCTGTGACATTTCTGTATATTTTCAATGATATCACTGCAACTACAGCACTTAAAGGGGTGAACAATTTAAGCCTGGCCACTGTTACATTTTAAGCAGGATAAGATTACTTCAAACCAGTAGAGGGTGGATAATACAACAGAAAATGCAAACAACGAGAATCTGAAATTTCTGCAACCTGGCTTAATGCAGAGGACCTCATGATCACGCTACTCTTGCTAAAGATATCTAACATTATTTGAGAAACGAGTCAAGCAGTCTAACACCAATGTCTGACATACATCCAACAAACCAGGCTATGGTTATGCCAGAGGATTTAGGATCTCCATCGTGAGACCTTCATACCGAGGCTCAAAATGGCAGATGCTCATTTGTGTCAGCATCCACCCAAAAAAAAGGAACTGTATTGCCATTCTTCAAAAGCAGTATACATATACATTTCAGAAACAATATTACAATGGCTGCCCTTTAATAATTAAACTCTATCCCAGATTAAAATTAATTACCATTAATGATCTTACAGCATCAAGGAATTAAAAAAGCCAAACTCTAGTTGGAAACGGTACAGAACAGACTCTCCTAATCCTGGCTTCCATTTTATATAACATTTTATTTTTTCTTTTACAGACGCGAAGTCAATTAAGTCAATGAATGTAACACATGAATGAGCCTTGATAAGGCCACTCGGATTCAATCACTGGAAATAAAACAGCTCTTAAAAGGGCAGCGTCTGAGCCATTACAGTAGACATAGAGACGCATCTTTAACTGGCAGCTATCAGGAACCGTATTATGTGCAAGTATAAGCTAATTAGTATGGAATGGAAATGGAGTCAGTTTAATTGCTATTAACTATATCCATACTGCAGCAGGAATATATCTGCATATTCCATCTAATGTATCTATATGGATTCCTGCTGTTTATGAATAGAAACTTGCAAAACTGCTCATTTGGATTCTGAATACTGCCATTTGTGGTTTGTTAATAGTAGTCTTTCCTTGCGCCTTTTGGGCTACTCTATAATCTTGAAATTAAAGCCACTGGTCATTTAGTTAATGATGGAACCATCGCTTTAATGATGCGCTCCAATCACCCAGGTGAAATTCGCTGCACAGTGATATAGGCTGCAATAAAATAAGCACTTTAATCAGCATATTATGCCCTCTAAAATCAATTGAGTGTATACTTCTATCATTAATTTAAAATAAATACACAATTTTAAAATTTTAAAGGACAACATTGGCCAGTAGAAAACTGCAAATGCAGGCAAATGGGTTATTTTACTAAAACCGGAGAGTGCAAAATCTTGTGCAGTTCTGCATAGAAATCAATCAGCTTCCAGGTTTTTTTTTGGTCAAAGTTTAATTGAACAAGCTGAAGTTAGAAGCTGATTGGGTTTTATGCAGAGCTGGACCAGATTTTGCACTCTTCAGTTTTAGTAAATTAACCTTTAAAGTGTATGTAAACCGTTAACAATGAACTTAATTTGTGTTCCACTTTGGTCTGTTAAATATATATAACTGAAAGCATTGTTATAGTGGTTTTGGTAAGTGCAAAAACATAAAAAAAACACAAACATTATTAATTCTGTCTTGTTCTGTCCTGCGCACTCTAGTTAATCTTCATGCCCAGGTTATCTCTGGACTACAGAAAACCTCCCTCTATGCCAGGAGTCTCCAAACTTACTAGTAAAAGGGACAATCTACTATCCTTCAGACTTTATGGGGGCCGGACTGTGGCCAGTGGAAGTAGAAAATGCCCCAGTGTAAGTGCGAGTAAACATTTCTTCAAACTTGGTCAGTAGGAGTAAAAAAATTACAAAGCACACGTGGTTAGTAGGAGGAGGGATACTGCCCCATCATAGGTATCAGGGGGAGGAATAGTGTCTCATCTTTGGTGTTGGTAGGAAGAATAGTGGCCCATCATTTTATTAGTGGGAGTAATAGTGCCCCATCATTGGTGTCAGTGGGAGAAATAATGCCCCATCATTGGTGTCAGTGGAAGAAATAGTGCCCCGTTGTTGGTGACATTGGAAGGAATAGTGACCTAAGGGCCGGATAAAGGCAAGCAAAGGGCCACATCTGGAGTTTGGAGACCACAGCTCTATGCCAATGAGAGAAGGTAAGTGGGAGGTGTCCTAATCGTTCTTCTGTCTTAGCATGATATACATTTTCCCCATAGATACAGTGCAGTGAGTGAATGTTGTCATCCTTGGAAAGGAAGTGTGTTACTGGCGAGATCACTAGGTGAAAATAATGGGGAAGAAAGCCTGAAAAAAAAAAAAAAAACTAAGGCAACCACCACATCTAACGACAGGTAAGCTTTAATATATAAAAATTGTGTTCTTGGTTTATATACACTTTAAATTAAACCTGAAATACTATATACCTCCTTAATCCAGCTGTCAGCACATAGTAGGCTCTAGGTGCCTCGATCGGTATTTACAGTAAAAACCTTGAAAGCCTGGAATGCCAGAGGAGTCTGATACTAACTTTTTTTGTGGGATATCTACTGAGCATCACCACTGGGCAGTAATGCTAGCTGTCACAATAATGGGCTTAGCAGACTGGAAGGTTTGAAATAAGTCTTCTGACCAACTGATCCAACAAATAAGTGTATAGCAGAGCTTTCTAGGTTAATGAAGTGTTTACATTCAGATAGGACTTGTTGTGGCCTTATATTGAGTAGAAGCTGAAGTACTATGTTCCAAGCAGGCTTTCATTTCTGCTCCAAGGCCAAAACTGGTCATTCAAACAAGAGGCAAGCACTGAGAAGTAATAGTTTTTTAATTTGCATATTTAATTATGTGCCTGTAATGTTATCTATTTGGAAGAAAAGGGGACGCTTCATTTTATGGATCAGAAAACCCCATGTTAATGGATCACGTACATTTGTGGCTTTGAGGAACACCATGGTCCTTTGCTGTTTAAAGTGAACCTGTGAACACAGCAATATGGAAGCTGCCATCATTGAGTAGAATTTAAAGTGCAGGCTTCAGGCTGGATTTACTGCCTAGTGAGTTTCTTATTTGGAACAGGCATGTAGTCAGTGAAGTCTGAAAATATCTACTCCCCTATCCAGAATACTTGTTCAATTTCAGTCACTGTGCAGTAAGGGAAGACTAAACACGACAATCCAGGAGTTTGCAACTTTGAAACAAGTCAAAGTCCTACAATATGTTCTCACAGCTTCTCATTTACAAGGAATCTATCAGGGTAGAAATACTTGAGCTACCTGCTAACTTGCTATTGAAATTGAAAGTTCTGCTGCGATCTTGATTATCCTTTCCTATTCTTTATCGTTTAAGTCATTGACTTGGTACATGCATTTGCATATCAGTTCTTATGACACCTGATATCCAAGTACTTGTCATGGTTCAATAACTCACTAAGAAGTAAAAGAAGGGTAACAATGACAATCCGAGAGCATGCATCTTTAAAAACAAGGAAGGAATGGCAGCTCCCATATTTCTGTCCTTAAAGGCTCCCATTAGAGGGAGCTCATACTGGGTGTTATTACAAGGCAACTACTGCCAGACAGCCGTCATTATTAACAAACAGCACAAATGTCCTAAATGAGTCAAAACGAGCTGCCTTTAAGGAATTATCCATGCAGTGAAAACCACATAATTATCTGACTGAATAACAGCAATTATCATCACTATAGCAGTCCAAAAACCCAAAATGAAGAATAGCAATAGTGCCAAGAACTGTTCAAATGAACTAAGAAACTGTCAAAAGCATGCAACAGTCTAGGATACAACTGTGTCTAAAAGGCAAACTGACCAGGGCAAATGGCATACTTGTATACATTCAAAGGGAAATGAACTGCTATAAAAGCACCTATATCCAGTGGAATATATTCAAAAATATGAAAAAAAGCTTTCAATAAGGTGATATCACATCAGCACTTTGAACAGGTACCATCCGCAAGCAAACATTTTGATAATTATATTAATCTATTGGTATCTAACTGATGCTTAGTTAAGCAGCCCACAAACTGGTCATTCTTTTATCGTTCAATGAAAAAAAATGGCCGGATTCCCAGGGCCGCTGCTAGACTATTTTGTGCCCTAGGCAAGACCAGCTACTTGCGCCCCCCCCCCCCCCCCAAAAAAAAAAAAAAAAAAAAAAACCAAATGTTTAAAATAAGTAGAAAATATTAAAATCAACAAAACATGAAACTGCTAAAATTCTTTTAACCACTTGCACACCACCCTATAGCAGAAGTACTGCTACAGGGCGGTAGGGCTGCGCAAAATCACGTATATGTATGTGATTTGCATTACTGGGTAGGGGGCGGGAGCATGCGCCGCCCTACCTGTGCCGCTATTGTCGGCTAGAGATGTCACTCACCAGGTCCCAGTCAGTGATTCTGGGCTGGCACTCATTGGGGAAAGCTGACAGGAGAAAGACCTGTGTGTAAACAACAAAGGTCTCTCTCCTGTCAGCATGGACATGCAGTTTTGTACAGGGGTGTGGAAATTTTTGAAAAAACTACTTGTCCCTGGGGCAAAACCGTATTTAAATTGGATGTGCTTTTAGGAATGTATGGGGCTTTTAAAAACAAAAGGGGCTTTATGGCGACTTAAACGTGTAATAATTTTAACACTGCGCTGTTTAACTCCTCCTCCCCTCTCTGCCCGTATCCAGCACCGCACCCGGGGACTAGCAGGGAGGGGAGAGACCTTGCAGTGTAATGAGCACTGACTGGCTGATCTTCAGGAAAGGGGGGGGGGGCAGGGCTTATACTTTATCCCTTTCGCTGTCAGAGAAGTTTTTGAGTTTTTTGCACAAGTTTTAAAAAATTATTTTAGGCCTGAAGATTACATAAAACCCCCAAACACGATATATTTTCTGAAAGCAGACACCCTAGAAAATAAAATAGTAGTAGTTCCAATTTTTTATGTTGCATGATATTACCGCGAAGTTTCAGTAAAAAATACAAGTAATTTAATTTTAGGGCAAAAAAAGCAATAAATTAACCTATTTTTTTGTAAAATATAAAAGATGAGGTTGCACCGAGTAAACAGATATCCAACTTGTCAAACCTTAAATTTGTGCACGCTCGTGAAATGGCAATGAACTTTAGTACCCTATATTTTCTATAGGCAAATGATTTTAAAGCTCCTTATAGGTCATCAATTTAGCATTACGGAGGAGGTCTGGTGCTAGAATTATTGCTCTCATTCTGGCGTGCGCGGTGATATGTAACATGTGTATCGCAATCAACGCTTTTATGCATAGGCGCCCCAGCATGCGCTTTTACCTTTGTATGTGCTTATATGTGGCGGTGCTCAATTTTGTTTTCTGGGGAGGATGCTTTGTGCTTGGGTGTAACTTTCATTTTTTACAATAAAAACAATTATTTTTTTTTTACCTAATTTTTTTTTTCATCACATAGGTCTCCCTAGTAAAACAGCACAGGCTGTCGCTCTCAGTGACACCCCACCAGTATACCGCTTCCCTCTCATACACATTGGGCCCCAATCATCCTACTCACTTGGGGTTAACCCTGCAACCAAAGCACACCCCTGCCTATTGATTGGCTTCAGCTGTGTAGAAGAAGGCGGAGCCAGTGCTGTGCAAGCCCCAATCAGTCACTAGCCAGCTCCCTGTTACAGCTGGAAGATCATGTGTGCCAGTGTGTGTACCGGAGAAGTATGGACCAATCCTCTGATCAGAGACTGCTGACCACCTGGAGTCCTGGGCTAATGTAATCTCTTCCCATCCTATCAGTGTGGTTCTGACTTGGTCATAGCCTCACCGATTTCATGCACTACTTTTGGTGAAATTTTCATAGTTATCTGTATCTTGCAAATCGCACCTGAAATCGGCGGGTCCCCCCCGAAAGGTACCATCATTCCCTGTGGATGAGGAGAGGGGGACTCTGCAGTGAAATGGAGAATTCTTACAAGAGTTCCATAGGCCACACAGAGAGAGTGCCGACCTGTGCCGCACCCAGACACTCCTAGGTGGCAGTGTGCCCTAAGCGGTTGCCTAGTGGAAGCATCGGCCCTGCAGATTCCCCCATCCACACATTCACCTCGAATGTGTGGATGGAGGAATCTGCAGGGCCGATGCTTCAACTAGGGAATTCTTCCTATTGAGCTTCTGTATTCTCACTGCAGGAAGACTTCCCCACCATCACAATCCACTGACCAGCGCTGCTGACTATAGCCTATGGCACTGATTGAGTGGAAATGTACTAAATTCTGGTTGTACAGAAGTTGATCAGTAGATTGACTTCTTTAAAACCAGCCGGTTCATACATGGATCAAAATTCAGCTAGTCCCTGCTAAAACGGACATATTTCGATCCATGTGTGGCCAGCTTAAGAATGTAGACTTTTTTTTTTTTTTTTTTTTTTTACAACCAGTGGGTTGAACGAGAAAAAAAAAAATTACAGATCCTTGCATCCACGCAAAGATGCTGGGATCACCTCCATTGTGCTATTGCATGGTGACAGCAGGGACTCCCACGGCCAAACCATGATCTTGGCACAGCCTCGCTCCACCCCCTCTTTCTCCTCATTGGCTGACTGGCTTTGATTGACAGCAGCGGGAGCCATTGGCTGTCTCAGCCAATCAGGAGGCAGAGACCCGTGACAGCCGAGCTGTCATTCACATCGCTGGATCATGATGAGGCTCAGGTAAGTATTGAGGGGGCTGAGGGAGCTGCTACACACATAATGTTTTTTACCTTCATGCATAAAAGGTGTCAAGACTCAAAACTGCGTGTGCCCAAGACACCATGACAAACTGCAATGCCCACAATTGTCCATAGGTGATGCATTAAAAGCCTTTAAAGGTCATCAACCTAGTGTAAAAAAAAAATGATGGCATGTTTTTGCCACGTCTGTAATTCTGTACTGAAGCTGTTAGATCAGCATGACAGCCTGGTAACTAGCATTGTCAGAGGGAGGCAACGGCGGGATGCCTGTTTCTCCAAGCATAGGTTTTGCTTTAGTACACCATCACACCTTGCACAAAGGTTCCGACAACGATGTTGCATTGGGATAGAATCTATTCGTTTGGTATCCATATTCAATAAAGTCTTGGTTCTTTCTAATTTTACAATTATAAGGTCTAATTTGATCTGTATTCACAGATCATGACTTCAACCTAACTTCATTTTTTATTATAATTTAATAACCTTTTTCTATCATTTATTTTAACTGTGACTCCATTAGAGGAATTTTCCCTCCTGTGACACCCACGCAAGAAATCATGGGTCCAGCTCTCACCTGGACACGAAGGACACATTATTGAAAACATAAGGAATATTAACACTTTACTAAAATATGATTTGTCTGTATACAAGTTGTATAACTTTCCATCAATTCCTATCCTGACCAGAAATGAGTGGAAGTTTGACAGAGACTCCAAGCCTTCCAAGCTCTATCCAAACTAATTATTGCTGAAGTTGGGCTTTAATTGTCTAATGTTAGAATGAAAGATGCTGTTGTTACTGACCTCCTCTTAAGACAAGTAATGGCACTTCAGCTCCGACTGGAAACTGCTTTAAGACTTCAACAACTTGTATGTGTGTCAGGCTCTGCACATTCTGATGACAGATTTCTTTTATTACGTCCCCCTTCTGGAGTTCTGGACACCATTGGCTATCTAAAATCATTTTGACTTTTTGCCCCATTGCGCTATCAGCGATGGCAAACCCAAAACCTTTGGGGCCTTTTAATAAGGGAATGGTAACTAGCTCAGGCTGTGATGTCCCAGATGATGCCATAGATGTCCTTTGATCTTGTAAATCCTGTGAAGGTCCATTCAGTCGACCATTGACCAACACATGGCCTGGTTTCCCATTGTAGTCCAAAACAACTATTCCAGACTTTAAGTCCTGGCTGCCCATATTTTCTCCTTGTGTAGTCAATTGCCCATTTATTAAGGGCGCAGCATTATTAACAATATCAGCCACAGGGTCATCGCTATCTTCAGGCAGAGGATAGCCCCGACATAAGGTCATATTCACATACTGGTTAATGGGAATAAGCTGGAACATCTGAACAACCTCTGCATGTGTATGGCCAAGAACACAGGTTCCATTTATGTCTACAATCACATCACCTGGATTAAAAAAAAAAAAAGTAGAATGTTAGTATGTTAAACAGTTAACGTACAGTTATTGTTCTTTATTCAATATATAGTATAACATGTTTTCATGGGGGAATCAAACTGATGCCTGAAAAGAAGCAACATAAAAATGAAGTAGAAATGCCTTACATATATAAAATATCTACTGCTGTAAATCAAAAGAAGATCGGCATATGGGTAGTAATACAGTGTACTTTGATAACTAAAACCCCGATTGAAAATAAAACCCTGCAAGCCATAGTACCTTTTACTCCATGTAGCATTTTGCAAAAGCAAGGGAAAAGTACCATTGGTGGTACACATTCTTAAATATTGAGAACAAGCGATGACAGATGTGTTTGTAGATGTGGAAACATGAGTGATATCTTTTATATGACCAGTTTTTTGCACACTTTTAAATATTTTAATATGTAACAATTCATGAATTATCCTCTTGCACTGTAGAAGAGCTGACCAAAAATCAACAAGGGCTAGCCACTGTTCCTTTTGGCCACAAGCAGACCACAGCAAAGGCTTGAAAGGATACCATGGTTGACTTTGGTCAAGTGAAAGGCCCAAAGAAACTAGCTGGCATACTCAGACAGTCGATACAATCGCTTGACGTACGCATATCCTGGCAAAGCTATGCCATATGATAAAGCCTATCTAGCCTCAAGTACATATAAGTAGATCACCTCTTTGTCTTCTTCTCTTTATTGACTGTTATTTCTATTCTCACCTGTAATGGTTTTCCTATATCTGCGTTGAGAAAATTACCTTTCACAATTCTCTTAAGATCACACTTATTGCCTAACTTGAATGTGAACTTGAATGTAACCTGATGCATTATTTAAAAACATTAAATAAGGAATTTGGAGATTATTCAGGGTTTAGAATAAACTGGTCTAAATCTACTCTGTTCCCAATGGATGGACAGCGGCTGTAGATTTCAGATTTAGAGTGCCCCATTGTGACATCTGATACATTTAAATATCTTGGGACTACTGTACAACTTCCAGTAAATTAATATCTAAACAATCTCTGGCCTATTGCACGAGCATTTAATGAAAGGGTTTGTAATTGGAAGGACCTGCCCCTGACCTTGCTGGGAAGAGTAAACTTGTTCAAAATGATTTATCTTCTGAAGTTTCTGTATGTTCTGTCCAATGTGCCCATTTATATTCCTAAAAAAATTAAAAATGTATTAATTCTTTTGCTTAGTTCCTTCCTATGGGGTTCTAAGCCTCCTTGAGTATCCCTGGAAATACTTCAATTGCCGGTACATAGGGGGGTCTGGCCTTGCCTGACCTACGACTGTATTATTTTGCCTCTCAGTTGATGTATGCACATTGGAGAATGTTTCCTCAATTAAATAATGCCCCCACTGCGGAGGAGGCGGCAGTGGCTACATCCTATAAAGCACTTCTAAATTACTTTTATTGAGGAGAGGTTCCATCAAAAGATGGCATGGCTATCCTATCGGTATGCAAAAAGATTCTTAACATATGTGTGAAACATGTTTTAGATACGGCCCTATCAATGTATCCAAGTGCTCCTCTTTGGTGTAATCCAAATTTGATTGAATTTTATAAATTTTGGGGGGGGGGGGGCCACTGGGCCCAATATGGTATTAAATATGCTCATCATATTTCCAAACATGGTAGGCTTAAGTCCTTTTTGCAACTAAGGTCAGAATAGGGTGTACCGGGCTGTTGGTATTTTCAGTATGCTCAGCTTAAGCATGCTGCAATAGCCCAATATGGCCCCAAGGAGGTTGTTTTGAACAACACCAGATTGGAGACCCTTCTCCTACAGCCGAAACATATTAATTGGTGTCATTATATTACTCAGAATGAACTCTAATAGATAGGGGGCAATGTCATTGTACACGTGAGCTGTGGAGAGATTTTCTTGCCACCTATGTGGGTACGGTTATTTCCTCCAGGGACAAAATGATACAATTGTGTTATTTACATCAAATGTACTATACACTGCAGCTTCTACTTTGTATGGGGAGATGTACCTTAGCCACTTGTCATAAGTGTCAGGCTAGTACGGGATCCTTTCTACACATGGTATGGGAATGTTCTAAAGTTAGGCCCCTGTGGTCTGAAGTCACTTCATTCATCTTGGATACATTTGATTTGCCTAATGTGTGTAGTCCTATAGTGTGCCTTTTAGCAGTACTTGAAGATGATATTGACTGATATTGATGATATATGACTACTGATACCAAACTCGTTCTGAGAATCCTGTTTTTTTATGTACGAAAGTTGATTGCGTTACATTGGATACATACTGATATTCTTGACTTGATGGCATGGAACAAATTGGTTAACTGGGATCTTCCGCTGTATGAGATGACGTATGAAGCAAGGGGGTGTCCGGGGAAGTTTGGAAAGATATGGTCCACATGGGTGGATTCCACTCCAACAGTGGCTGACAATCCTTCAGTGGTAAGTATAGCTTATTATCACTCCTCCCCTTCCCCTCCCCTTTTCCTTTTTTTTTTGGACTCCTCTGGTGGGTGGGATGCTCTGCAAACATTTTGTGTTAGGGGGTGATATGAATCCCAGAGATACTTTTTTTTCCGGCTTTTGGATGGGTGGAGAGGATTTATCCTGGCATTTTTCCTCCATTGTTGTTTGTTGTTGTGAGTTTTTTTGTGTTTTTGCTATTTGGGAAAGGGAATAGTTTGGTTGGGTAATTTTTCATGTGTATTCAAATAATAAATGCTTTATGTGAATGTGTTAATAGTCACCCTATACGAAGTGAAAATACATGGCTCTGTTTTCTCAGACAATAGTTTGGATGTAAACTGTATAGGTCATAAAATTAGAATTGTGTGGCTTCTTATTGTATTACTGATTGTTTTGACAAGCGTAAATACTTGGATGTATAAATATTTGCATATGGCAATAAAAAAAGTTTTTATGAAAAAAAAAAAAACATTAAATAAAAGTCCTAAGACAAAAATCAAAGGGGTGCAAGGCATTACATATTAACTGATCCATACTTTTTAATGAAAACATACCCAAACAGGAATTCTGATGTACAACCTCAATTCCAAAGTTGAGACGCTGTGTAAATCTACATAAAAACAGAATGCAATGATTTGCAATTCTCATAAACCCATAGTTTTATTCACAATAGAAAATAGAAAACGTATCAAATGTTTAAACTGAGAAAATTACCTTATCTTTTTCTTAAAATGGCACATTTTCTCAGTTTAAACATTTGATATGTTTCCTATTTTCTATTGTGAATAAAATATGGGTTTATGAGATTTGTAAATCATTGCATTCTGTTTTTATGTAGATTTTACACAGCGTCCCAAATTTTTTGGACTTGTGGTTTTAAATATATTCAGTGTTTACAATCTTGGATGTGTTCAGCAATAAACATTACCAGGGAAAATGTGCAATATTAAGGATACCTGAAATATTCACAAGTAGAAATCTGTTTACAGAGCACTCCCATGTCTGCCCCATTAAATTGTTAAAATGATTAAATCAGTGGACAATTATTTGCTAGTACATTTGTACTGTCCCATCAAAACTTCTATTCCACTAACACTCTGCTCTAACTTGTAACCTGCAGACCTAAGGCCAGTTCACACCAGAAACGCACAGGAACACGACACGTATTCCTGTGCGATTCCTGCTCATTCCTTTGAAAGAACTGAAATCGCACCAGAATATGGGAAAAGTAAGGCATACACTACTTTTAAAAATGTGCCACACCAAATCACATAGTACTGCAGTATCACGCACTGTGTTTGCTTTCTTCATTTTGGGTGCTGTTATCATTACACTGACACCAGCAGCAGATCGCAAAAGCGTTTTTTGTATGCAAAAGTGCTTTTCCGGGAAAGCGTTCTAATGTGAACTGGTCCTTAACCACTTCAAGTCCGGATACTTTCACCCCCTTCCTGTCCAGGCCAATTTTCAGCTTTCGCTGCTATCACACTTTGAATGACAATTGCGCGGTCATGCAACACTGTACTCATATGAAATTTTTATAATTTTTTAGACAGATAAAACTTTATTTTGGTGGTATTTATTAACCACTGGGATTTTTTATTTTTTTGCTATATAAATGAAAAAGTCCAAACATTTTGGAAAAAAAGTGTTTTTCTTATAAAATTTTGCAAATAAATAATCTTTTTTTTCATAAATCTTGGCCAAAATGTATTCAGCTATCTTTTTAGTAAAAAAACAAAAAACAAAACCCCAAATTAGTTTATAACCAAAAATAATAATTTTGCAAAAATTTGTTTAAATGGTTATTTTATTTTTTTATATTATTATTTTTATTTTTTTTTAACATACCGTCACTCTAGTAATACAGTGTCACCATAGTGACACTGTAATACTTGTGAGGGGTGATGAAGATTTTTTTTTCTTTTTTTTTACACTGTTTGTTTTTACACCCATAAAGGCTGTACAAGCAATCATTTCTCCTTCTCTCTGGCTGCATTCTTGCAGCCATTGAGAAATACTGTGAGAGCTGTGATTGGTCACAGCTTGTCACATGGTACAAGGCTGGTGTGAATAGCTTTGTACCATGTGACCTCTGTGATCATTCACAGACTTCACAAGTAGTAAGCAATGATGTCAGGAAGTAACATCTTGTTTACTACTATTGATGTGATCACTGATTGGGCAATTAGGGATCACATGAATCGGGACCTCACACAGAGGTCCCGTACAGCGCTACCGCATGCTCCCAGGGAGTGCGCACAGGCAGTGAATGCGAGGGCCGTTTGTGAATGCTTCGTCACTGCTCCTGTCCAGCCGTTTATGTACATGGGCCGGACGATAAGTGATTAAAGTAAAACTTTGTCCAAAACCCAACTACTCTTAAAACTGTCCCCTCCCTCGCCCCTATGCTGACTAATCTGTGTGAGAAAGATCTGTATACTTACCTATTTTCAGGCTGCTCCAGTCTGGTAACATGATCTCCTGTGTCAGCCAGCAACAGCTGCAGAGGAGAGAGCATTCCAACAATGGCTGGTAATGCCTGGGAGTGGTGACCTATAGTCTTCAATGGCCCATCTGTTGTTGGTGCCCCCCCCCCCCCCCCCCTCCGCTGCAGTAGCGCTGGCTGACGCAGGGGAGCAGGATCACATGATGGGACTGGAGAGGCCTAAAAATAGGTACGTAGATACTGTACATCTTTCTTACACAAGTTATTCAGCATAGGTGTTAAGACAGGGACAGGACAGTTTTAAGGCTAGTTAGGATTTAAAGACTTTAGTTGGGCCCAGAGTAAATGTCCTTTTTACTCAATTAAAGCTAATGCATGGTAAATGCAAAATATATTTATGTATTAACTCCTAAATTTCAGTTCCAAGGGTAGTCCTACACAACAGTCATAAATACATTAAATTATGGTAAAAGATCTTACATTAAGATATGAATACAAAAAAACTAGATTTCCAGCACTTTCTGATCAGAAACTGCCTCAGTTGTTCAGTTACATCTTAGAAGCCTTCCCCTCAGTAACCTGTTCAAACAATCCAAGGCCACTAAACATCAGCTAACCAGGAAGCACTGTACAATAAATGATTTTATATTCATCTTTTCAATTAGATCTATTTTTTTGAACTTTTCATCTACTTTGTGGGGTGACTCCTTTGACATTGTTTACCTAGACATTCGGTCTGCCTTACAGAAAAACTCCACTGCAGAGAGATACAGATTTTTTTTTGGTTTCCCACACATCTGACATTTGGAGCCATAGAAATCCCCAAAACAGTATTTTTCTCCACACGTAGAGATGATGTTTTTCTTAAAATAGATTGAGTATTATGTAGTGAGTATTATAAGATTAAAGCAGTCATAAGGAGATTTTTTTTGTATCCAATAACGCATGGTAGTTAATACAAGTGCTCAGATGACAAACCACTGCCATAAAAACCATGACAAGGTTGTTCATTAAAAAAACGGTATCACTGTGCTACAATTTTTGTTTACAACTTAAGAATCAGACAGCCAAGGCACATTTAATGTGTCTACAGACAGAATATGCTCTATGATGCCACTGTGTACAGTTTGAGCAGGAAGCTTCCATAAGTCTGTAGACCCTACTTAAAAATGGCAGCCTTCCTCTGCCCAGTCCTTTTCAGATGGGGCCAGCTAGATTTTTACTGGGCTTTGGTACTTTTTTCCCAATAAGAGAGGCCACTACTGAGGGCGTTTGCAATATGACCCCCCCCCCCCCTTCCACACAGGCACAGCATAGCCTGCCATTAAAAATGGCAGCCTTCCTCTGCCCAGCCCTTTTCAGATGGGGACAGCTAGATTTTTACTGGGCATTGGTACTTTTTTCCCAATAAGAGAGGCCACCACTGGGGTGTTTGCAATGTGACCCCCCCCCCCCTTTCCACCCAGGCACAGCATAGCGTAAACGTGCATTCTGGCATCATTATCTCACATTATTCAGATCAGCAGGAGAATAATGCAGACATGGCTGGACCCCACTGAAATTGTGTAGGTAGATTGCTAAATTCCCAATAACTTTCCAATTGTCTTCCTTTTGAATTTGTTTTTGTTGCAAAATGTATTTAGTGGTCATAGAAATGCATTCAGCTGCTAATATTGCATTTGGCTAGTTTAAGTCTTGTTTTTATATTTATATTAAAAACAAGTACCTCTTCCTTGTTCCACAAACAGTAAAACAAAATGATTAATCCAACTACTGTTCAGAAAAAATACAGATCTACAAATACCTTTTATGTTTCTACTATACAGTATAAAACAGGTTGTAGTAATAAAACCTTTTATGCTACATCATTTGGTGGTTGTGAAGTTTCTGCAATTTGGGAAATGGGCTTTCTGATGCAGAGATGCACATGCACAGCTTGGAAGTCAGTGTTCCATGAAACCAGGCTTTTTCTAAATGGCAATTTATTTTTTACCATTTTGTACATTTCTACACTGAAACCCATTCCTGTGCTCATTGTATATTCAGTCTGTTTATTCATTACTGTTAATAACGATAGAAAATGGTTTATGGATGGATGTTATGCCCATTTCTTGATGGATGAGCATATGTTTTACTGCAGATATGGTTTATTTATGGGGTTGAACTCATTACTTTAAGATTTTTACTGAAGGCAGTTATAGGCTGGATGATGAAATGGTTAATATTTAAATAAGAATTGGTTCATCTCAAAATGTTTTAGGCTGCCAAGGCTGTCTCTTACTTTAAGTCATTAACCCATAGCATGTATGCTGCAAATTATATAAGAACTCCAGATTTGGAGCTGGCTCAATGGCTCATAAAGTACTAAATACAGAGACAGCCAGATAACCAGCATACTCAGAAGGTTGATAATGGCAGTCCACGTATTTTGTTCTTCATGGGTTTCCTTTAAAACTCAATTCCAACATTAAATTAAAGCACCACATTAAAGCAACTAATTCCATTTGCTCCCACACTACTTACTGGAAAAAAATCTTCCAAATAGTGCTCAGGGACCTCCATTCTCCTCTGGATTTCCTGTCCAGTGGTGGCCTATGGGCAGAGCAGCGCACGCACGCCACACAAAAGTCACATCTGTGCACTGCCAGCACTGGCAGGATGGATGATGACTACACTTCTTGTACATCAGGGCACTAAAGAGGGTGGAGTCTAGACTGCCAGTGTGCCAACTTCTAGGAAGAGTGAAATTGGGCGTAATTTAACCTGCAAGTGGGGAGACAGTTACCGGACTAAACAGAGTTGCTGTGGCATACAGCACCAGAGGTAAGGTGGGTATTGCAGCAAAAAACATTTTTTTAATGTTTTTTTTGCCAAAACTGTATGTTCAGCACTTCAGTTATAACAAAAATAATTCCTTCATTCACTGGACAGGAATGTTCTCACATGGGCCATAGGCATAACTGTCAGGTTATACAGAATGGTAGCCAGGTGACTTTCATCATAAATCTATCAAATGGTGCAAGAAAGAGGTGATGTGTTTGTACTTTCCTCAACATGAGGCATCAAACCAGAACAGTTAAAGAAGCAAAACGTCCTTCTCTTCTCAACTTCTATTTAAAAAAAATAAAGCATCTACAATGGGACCTTTTATTTTGCATGCTGCACATCAGAAGGCATACCCTCTCTAATTGACAATGTTAAGCCCAGTACATCAAGCAAACTGCAAACATATTCTCATCAATATACTTTAAACAATGTATATGTATTATCTCTTCTCTCTTTGAGAGAAGTTTGTTTGGTGTAATTATACCTGGAGCTATCTTCCCATCTTGTGCAGCTGGGCCGTCTTTGAGAACATTTTTCACCTGCAAAAACTCATCTGGTCTGTCTCCTCCAATAATGGTGAATCCAAATCCCATTGCACTTTTCTTTAGAGATGTGCGCAATGTTGCTCCCTTTAGCAGTGCTGGATCTCTGGTGAATGGGGACTTGTCAGGCTCTGAAGGAGACACAAATTACACCAATGGGAAAAAAAAGAGATGAATTTAGAATAAACAGTGCTTAACTGCAGTATATCATACTGCTACAAATGAATATTGTAAATACCCTTAACAGGAAATTATTGTTTCTTCAGGCTGAGGGAGACCCAACTGGCCAAGCTGCTTCTTTCTTTTAGCTTCGAGAACTGGATTTTCAAATTGCGTTTTCTGGTTTATATGGCTATTTAAAAAAAAAAAAAAAAGAAAACGTCAGTCCAAAATACAAGTGTAAGTTATAAACATTAGAAGTAAGCTCACCTATGCCATAATGAAATAATTTGACACTCATATGCTTCATAAACATCATAAGAGGAGTACTACTTTTTTCCTGTTTTGAATAGGTTTGCATTTGCAACCGGCAGTCGGAAACTCCTATGCACATACTGTATTGATTTTATACTGATACAGATTTTCATACCGTATTCTATATGCCAAAGATGACTTTTTTTTGGCAGTCTTTCAGCAATAAACCAGCTGTTCACCCCATCTGACATATGTTATCCTTTAAAAAGGGCCATTCTACACACAGCTGGTGCTGTGGGGCGCTGAACCACCCACCCTATGTCTTCTTAGTGGTGTTCAACCTACTAAAAATAAGGGTGTCCCTTAACATCACCAAACGGCAGCACAAAATATTCACTGCAAATATAACTACAGAACTGTAGTCAGAGATTGCAGACACGTAACAGGAGATGATCAAAACTGAGGCCATTGTTTAAGATATGGTCAGAGACTGCAGATATGTAACAGGAGTAGGTCAGAAACTGAAGCCATGCTACAAGAGATAGTCAGAAATGGCAGACATGTTACAAGAGATGGACGGACACTGGGGACATGTTTCAAGAGACAGTTATAGGCTAATATTGCACGAGACTGCTAGAAATCACTATTTTTGTCTCTTTGCAAATCAGTGCTCCTGCACTATTGTACCCTACAGCAGCTTCACAAATTACTTGCACCACATTTTATATTTTGTTCAGCGAGATACATTATAAAAGATTATAGGAAATAAAAAAATTATAAAGTGAATGATAAAAATACAAAGTGAATAGGGATGGACAGCACAAAAATAAACCAATTTAACTACTAAAGGAAGGAAAAAGAAAACTTCTGCTTCACTGGCATGAGTAAGCACCAAAACAGGTGCTTACTCGGTAGGAGCCCCTAGGGCCACTTAGTAGATGCCAAAATGCATCATTATTATATACAGGGTTTATATAGCGCCAACAGTTTGCTCAGCGCTTTACAATATAACGTGAGACAATACAGCAACAGTACAGTTCAATAGAAGAGGGATAGGAGGGCCCTGCTCCACGGAACTTACAATCTAGGAGCATGGAGACCATGGGCCACAGGTTGGCTAATGAGGTCTTATATGCACTGTATGCTCTACCTCTTAGCCTGCTCCCCAATTCTTGGCTCTTTTCATTCCTACTTTGGACCTCTGGGTGTGTCTTCTGCTCCTGCTGCATTCTCCAGAACATACAATAAATAACAGTTTTGGCAAAAAAAAAAAAAAAACCCTGCATTTTCATTGTAATCATAGCAGCAGGAATTGCACATAATATATTGTTTTACTCAATGATCCCCATCTCAGAGGTCCCTGTACTCATAAATCTGCTTCCCAGCCAACCTACCCTCACTTCCCAGCTGAAAGTGGAGGAGTGAGGCAGGGGGAGCCTAAACATTCTATGTTGCTGCTTGGTGTCTGAGAACCCAACACAAGAAAAAAAAAAAACAGATTTCTAAACTGTGACACACAGAGAAAACAGCAACTTTATCTTGTCCAGGACACTCATCATCAGGGTTGTGGATAAGGGGGTACCACCAATCCTCCTGTACGGGGCCCAGGCCAGCAGGGGGGCCCGTGCAGTTGGGATAATTGGATGTGGGCAGGGAGGGTGATCAGCACGAATTACTGGAACTGTCCCCTGAAGGGCTCTTCCTGCAGCAGCTGAAAGCTGGATTCTTCTCCTCTCCCTCCAAGCTGCTACAGAGATAGTCATACAGGGGATCAGTTCCAGTAATTGCTACCCCCCTCCCCCCTGATGCACCCATCACCCTCCCTGTGCACCATACCTTTCCCCCTGCTGCCCAAGCACCCCCTGCGTGCCCCCACCCCCTGCAGTGCTGCCGGCTTCCCTCCTCTGCCTCCCACCGGCAGCTGCAAGTACACAATAGGAATCTTCAGAATGGAGAGTGGGGATGGGTCTGGTAAATATGTCCCATTTACCAGCCCCTTTCTTTCCTGAATGGACACAATGAGTGATTGGTACCGATCACTCACTGTATTTATTCAAAACTGAAGCATCATAAACTCTGTTTGTTTTTTTGCTTGTTTTTTTTTTTAGAGGGGGCCCTGTCCGGTCAGCTCTATGGGGTCCTGTGGTTTCTAACAGCAGCCCTGCTCACCACTATAAACAGTGCAAGATACCCCTTCTTCACATCCTTTGAAAGTCAGTTTTTGAAATTATTGTATATTTTTGCTTTCAACTAGTGTGATCATAAAATCTGCTTAGAAATGAATCTTGAAAACAAATGATTTCACAAAACAGCTTTCTTTTTCATCTTTAGTAAAATCCAATATGTTTACGCACATGGAAAATATAAAAATCCCCAAACACTTGGAGGAATTGTAAATGTGCATAGAATAAAAACAAATCTGTCATATGTAAAGTACAGGAGTCTGACTTCTTATCAAGGTTAAACGCTACCCCATCCTACCACTAATCTCCATCCTCTGTCTGTTATCAATCAAATGAAGAGCCTTCATTGGCCACAAAGGCTTTGGTATTTCAAATTTAAATGACAGAAACAATGTTTTGAATCAGGAAGGCGAGGATTAAACTATATAAAACCAATTTTTATTTTCACCATCTGTTTGCCATTGGGGGTCATTTCCTGTCACTCCCTGTCCTGTACATACAACAGAAAGTGAGAGGAAATCTTTCCACAGCAAACTAAATTTCCTCTTGGGCTTGGTTCACAGTATTGTGAGCCACATTGGCCGTGTTTGCTCAGGCACAACAGCCCATTTATTTGAATGGGCTGCGGTGCCCGCCTTTCCGCACAAAAAAGCTGCATGATCTTTTTCACCACCATGCAGTTTCTTGCGGTTCCCGCACCTGCAATCGCGCTGTGGGCTGAGATGCGTGGAGGTGCCATTCAGAATGAATGGCAGCCCCGCGTATCTCGTAAGAGCAGCGCGATGTGGGTGCGGGAACAGATGCCATTCCCGCAATTAGCCCACATAGTGTGAACCGAGCCTTAGCTGTCACAGGAACAGGTGTCCTCATTAGAAGATTTTTCCCTCTTTACCTGTTCTGGTCTTGAATTGTCCCCCACTTTCACTCCTCCTGGAAATGATCACCAGGAGAAATGGGGAACGGGGAAGACAGTAGAGACAAAGACATCAATAAGAAAAAAAAAAAACCTGTCAGGGTTTAACACTTCAAATGTCCATTAGTATGTAGACCCTACCCTACAATGGCAGCTTTCCTTTTACTAGTGCTTTTTAGATGGGACCAGTTAGACTTTTACCAGGGCAAGCGCTATTTTGTTCATAGTAAGAGAGGCCACCAATGAGGGCGTCTCCCCCCCCCCCCCCCCCCCCCCCCCCCCCCCCCCCCCCCCCCCCCCCCCCCCCCCCCCCCCCCCCCCCCCCCCCCCCCCCCCCCCCCCCCCCCCCCCCCCCCCCCCCCCCCCCCCCCCCCCCCCCCCCCCCCCCCCCCCCCCCCCCCCCCCCCCCCCCCCCCCCCCCCCCCCCCCCCCCCCCCCCCCCCCCCCCCCCCCCCCCCCCCCCCCCCCCCCCCCCCCCCCCCCCCCCCCCCCCCCCCCCCCCCCCCCCCCCCCCCCCCCCCCCCCCCCCCCCCCCCCCCCCCCCCCCCCCCCCCCCCCCCCCCCCCCCCCCCCCCCCCCCCCCCCCCCCCCCCCCCCCCCCCCCCCCCCCCCCCCCCCCCCCCCCCCCCCCCCCCCCCCCCCCCCCCCCCCCCCCCCCCCCCCCCCCCCCCCCCCCCCCCCCCCCCCCCCCCCCCCCCCCCCCCCCCCCCCCCCCCCCCCCCCCCCCCCCCCCCCCCCCCCCCCCCCCCCCCCCCCCCCCCCCCCCCCCCCCCCCCCCCCCCCCCCCCCCCCCCCCCCCCCCCCCCCCCCCCCCCCCCCCCCCCCCCCCCCCCCCCCCCCCCCCCCCCCCCCCCCCCCCCCCCCCCCCCCCCCCACCCCCCCCCCCCCCCCCCCCCCCCCCCCCCCCCCCCCCCCCCCCCCCCCCCCCCCCCCCCCCCCCCCCCCCCCCCCCCCCCCCCCCCCCCCCCCCCCCCCCCCCCCCCCCCCCCCCCCCCCCCCCCCCCCCCCCCCCCCCCCCCCCCCCCCCCCCCCCCCCCCCCCCCCCCCCCCCCCACCCCCCCCCCCCCCCCCCCCCCCCCCCCCCCCCCCCCCCCCCCCCCCCCCCCCCCCCCCCCCCCCCCCCCCCCCCCCCCCCCCCCCCCCCCCCCCCCCCCCCCCCCCCCACCCCCCCCCCCCCCCCCCCCCCCCCCCCCCCCCCCCCCCCCCCCCCCCCCCCCCCCCCCCCCCCCCCCCCCCCCCCCCCCCCCCCCCCCCCCCCCCCCCCCCCCCCCCCCCCCCCCCCCCCCCCCCCCCCCCCCCCCCCCCCCCCCCCCCCCCCCCCCCCCCCCCCCCCCCCCCCCCCCCCCCCCCCCCCCCCCCCCCCCCCCCCCCCCCCCCCCCCCCCCCCCCCCCCCCCCCCCCCCCCCCCCCCCCCCCCCCCCCCCCCCCCCCCCCCCCCCCCCCCCCCCCCCCCCCCCCCCCCCCCCCCCCCCCCCCCCCCCCCCCCCCCCCCCCCCCCCCCCCCCCCCCCCCCCCCCCCCCCCCCCCCCCCCCCCCCCCCC